TCCTCCACGTCCTCCCCGCCCTCCCGAAAGCGGCGGTACTCAGCCCTGCAGCTCAGCCCGACAGGCCCGGGGTGCAGCGCAGCGGTCGCTTCGGAGCCACCAGCTGGGTCACCCCCAGGGGCGCGAAGGTGGTCGCGCTTCGCTCGTCGGGTCCTGGGCTGGCGAGCTGCCCTCCTCCAAGGCGGCGGCCTCGCGAGGGCGCGGAGGAAGACCGGCCGCGCGTCTCGCACCTCGGATGCGCGACGCCCGAGTTCGAGCAGGGCCGAGGGTCAGAGAGCGCCTGCCTCTGCAGGGCCAAAAGAGGACGCCATGGTGGCTTAACGCCTTGCCGATTAAGCCGACGAAGGTGTGCAACGTCCAACCAATCGCTTTGTGTCCAAAGTTTTGGCTTGACGCCCAGCGTGGTGCATCGATTTCAACTTAACCGAACAGGTTGGTTGCGCCCCTTGACGTCCGTTTGGGGTGTTCTACAGACCTGACCTCCCAGCCCTACTCAAGCCCGAGTTGGACCTCAGTCGGAGCTCCCGCCGTCCTGCCCCCGTTCCCACTGGCGGCGCGCAGAGGGGGGCAAGGGGGAGGGGGGGAGGCTTCTCAGAAACACCGCTGCTTCTTAGAATGCGCCGCCGTTACATTCTCAGATGAGGCCCGCGCCTTCTTAGAAGCAGCCTCCTTCTAAGAAGCCTTCCCCCCTCCCCTTACCCCCCTCTGCGCGTGGCCGGTCCTACCTCCACAGGGTACGCTTCGATCCGATCGATCCGACTCGGTATCGGCTCACGTTCGCCCCTGGACGCACGCACCCGCCCACATGGACACTCGGAGTCGCAAAAATACGCAATTCGCGGAGGCGGATTCAGCGGAGCGATGGCGTTAGCACCGCAAAAGAATGTACCAAAGCCCAAACCCGACATTCCGTAGCCATTTTGGCTCAAGGCGTTTTGGCTATCAGCAGTTTCCTCTTAGTTAAGCGTGTGGCCTGCCGAATTCTTTCTTCGCATCTTGCGCCATGTCGTCGCTGACCCTGCTGGCGGTGGCACTCCTCTTGAGCCCAGCAATCGCAGCCAGAGATGTGGTGGACATGACAGGCGCCAGCCTTGAGGTAAATGACCCGCTGAGCAGCCGTAAATTACATGCTTCAGAATGGCTCGCATACTCGTGGGATCCTGATCGCAGTGGTAAGAGCGCCAACTTCTTGAGGCGTAAGAAAAAGATCTTCTCATACGAGAAAGAGGACATTGAGTTCGGACCCAGTGCGTATGGAAATGTTGAGTTCGTGAAGTCAGAATCTTTGGCAGAGGCTTTGGACAAGATTACTGCAGCCCTCGATATCGGTACCGACTTCGGCCAAGCGTTTGCGGCGTCTGTCTCAGCGGGCATGGACGCGGAGTCATCCACGCAGTCGAAGCAATTCCGGTCTGATATGCTTATCACCACGGTGGTGCATCATGCTTCATCAGTGCCAATCAATCAATCCAAGAAATTGCGCGAGGAAGTTCGACAATTCTTGGTTACGAAACCACCAGAAGAGATAATCGAAAGGTTCGGTGCGTTCTTTGCTGCGGCAATCGACCTCGGTGGCTTGGTGAGATCCACGGTCACCAAAATAGCGTCAGAGGACGAAGATCTCGCAACCTTTCAATCGAAAGCGGAGGTCAAGGCACCTCTTGGTACTGTCCAAGCAGCTGTCTCCACAACTAGTTCAGCGGTCTTCGGCGAAAAAAGCACGAACAGCGAAATGTCGATCAAATGTTCATTTTTGGGAGGAGATTCTCACATTTGGCTCGGGATGCACAACGATGTCAGTTTGAGTCACATTCGGAAGGATTGGGCTGCAAGTATCAACGCCAATAATATGGAGCCCATTCGTTTCGACTTGAAGCCTATCTGGTCTCTCTTGGAGAGCATTCGCTGTGCAGACTGCCAGGAGAGAGCAGCTGCTTTGAAGCTTGAGCTCACAAACAGGTGGCAGGCTGATGTGGCCAAACTCACAGAGCAGGACGACCTCCCTAGAAGAGTGCCAGGCCAAGTCGACGACGTCGTCACCTTCGTGCCGATGATTTAGCCTCAAACGCGTATGTTTGTCGACGCTAAGAAAGTATATCATTCTCAAAGGTGGTCAAGGGTTGGGAAGCACACAAGGGAAGCCGAGGCGTTCAAGATCACGAGAGGCCTCGTGGACCAGAACCTCACTCATTTTTCCTTCGAACCAGTGGCCTCGGACGCACAAGCACAATACGTTGCGGCCTGCGATTCGTGGTGGGGGAAATACGTTTGTCATAAAATAATCAAAACAGATGACGACGAAAGAAGAGCCACATGGATCATGCGCAATAACACTGGAGACGATGGGTTTGAGCATAACACCAAGAGTTTCGAGTCCTTGTTCTACCCAGGATACTTCATGCAGCTGGAGAAGCCATGGGTACGGCTGTCCAAGCCTGGTGGCCGCGACTTTAGCAGAGCTGCTTCTTGGAAGGTTGAGTTCGCCCAGCTGGCCAGCTGATCAGAACCCGAAGAGGTGGCTGACCAGCAGGGCCGCCGGGCCTTCGTCTGATCCTCAGAGGTGGGGGGAGGAGGAGGAGACCGATGGGGAGGGGCGCGGACGTGCGTGGGGGCGTGGAGCTTGCAGGGTGCTGCCGGTTGGCCCGGTGTCACACATGTTTGGATGCGGCGGAGCGGCCGCTCGGCTTGGGGGCCGCGATGGAGGCTACCCCGGCGATCCGGGATCCGAAGCGGCTGGCCGGTTGCGACGCAAAAAAAAGAGCCCGAACCCGACATTCGGTATCGAAGACGCCTACGGCGAATCACCGCCGCCCCCTGCCTTTTTGGAAGCGCCTATGTGGCCGAACGTTGAGGCCAGACCTGCCAAGCTATCGGACCACGTGTTCCCCGAATCGGTTTGGAAAGCCTTCGGGGAACACGTGGGCATCTTGAAGGTCATCTTGGCCGTCTTGGAGGCCTCTTGGGCAAGCTTTGGGCGATCTTTGGGGCTTTTTGGGCCGTCTCGGGCCAGCTTCGAGCCAACTTCGGCCATCTTGGTGGGTTCCTGGCACGTCTGAAGCCGTCGGAAGCCGTTTGGGGGGCCTCTATGGGCCGACTTGGGGCCCGCTTGGAATGCTCCAGGGCCGTCTTGGAGGCCATCTTGGGCGTCTGGGAGGCCATCTTGGGCGTGTTGGAGGCCTCTTGGGCCCTCTTGGGGCCCTCTAGGGGCCATCTTGGAGGCCACTTGGGCCATCATGGGGCTCTCTTGGGGGCCTCTTGGGCGATCTTGGGGGCTTCTTGGGCCGTCTTGAGCCGTCGGAGAGCCGAAAAGGCGCAAATGCCAAAATCCTTCAAAAACCAAGGAAAATCAATGATTTTGGCCTCTTCGGACTCTCCTGGAGGACCTCTTGGAGGCCTCTTGGGCCGTCTGGGAGGCCTCTGGGGGGCCTCTTGGGCCGTCTTGGGCCGTCTTGGACTCTCTTGGGCCGTTTTGGAGGCCGTCTTGGACCATCTCGGGCGGACTTGGAGGCCATCTTGGGCCATCTTCGCGATTTTTTGAGGATGTCCCGAGCGAAACGGCCGTTTTTGGGCATTGACAGACGGATTTTCGGCAATTTACGGGTGGCCGGCGGGACGGGCCGAAGCCCACTGGGGAGTTCTTTTAGAAAAAGAACCAAAACCAAAACCTGAAATATCCAGCACGCCGTGCACCCCTGCAAGCAGGGGGCGGCGGATCTAGTGGTTTTCGGCCCATCCCACCACCGTACTTGGGTTGTAGAGCCATATTGTAGGCCTCTTGGATGTGCGTTGGGATGTCGTGGGAGGCATCTCGGGTGCCTCTTTGAGGCAGTTGTGAGGCCTCTTGGGCGTCGTTTTGTGGCGTGTTGGAGGCCTCTTGGGGGCCCCTCTTGGGGTCTCCCGAGGTCGAAACGTCGTACATGCCAAAGAGGTAGGTCGTCCTGCAGGAGCTTAACGATTTGAACCTCCTGGGAGGCCTTTTGAGGCCTCTCTTGGGGCGTCTTGGGCGCTTCCTCCTCCTCCTCATCCTCATCCTCCCCCCCCACTCCTCCTCCTCCCCCTCCTCCTCCGCTGGGGCCTCCTCCTCCTCCTCCTCCTCCTCCTCCTCCTCCTCCTCCTCCTCCTCCTCCCCCTCCTCCTCCCCCCTCCTCCTTCCCCTCCTCCTCCTCCTCCCGCTCCTCCTCCCCCTCCCCCCCCTCCCCCTCCCCCTCCCCCTCCCCCTCCCCTCCTCCTCCTCCTCCTCCTCCTCCTCCTCCTCCTCCTCCTCCTCCTCCTCCTCCTCCTCCTCCTTCTCCTCCTCCTCCTCCTCCTCCTCCTCCTCCTCCTCTTCCTCATCCTCCTCCACGGTCTGCTGGCATGGGGGCTTTGGGACGTGTTGGGCCCCTCGTGGGGGGCACCTGGGGGCCTCAGGGGCCCCTCAACCATCTTTGATTGGCCGATCTTTTACCACTGCTACCATAGGTAGAAGTGAGTGGTGGAGGAGGAGGAGGAGGAGGAGGACCTCCTCATCCTCCCTTGCCCCCCGTCCTACCTATGGTAGTGGTGGTGCAAGATTGGCCCATCAATCTTCTTTGGTCCTCCTGCAGGGACCCTGCAGGGCCCTTCTTCGGAGCCTCTCGGCGGGCCGCTTCGGGGTCGCTGTGAGGGCCGCTCTGGGGGCCGTTTGGGGGGCCATGTGGGTGCGAGAAAGGCCTCCATGGGGCGGGGGAAGTCAGCAAGTGTCGAAGAAGGACAAACGCCATAAACATAAACTTTTGGCGCTCCGCGCAGATTCAAGAAATCCGCGCTCCGCGCGCCAGGGGCGGCGCCGGAGGCGCCGCCGGGGGGGACTCAGCGCAGATCCAAGAAATCCGCGCAGAACGCCAAAAGTTTACAGGGACGTTGGAATCATCTATGCGGGCCATGCCCGGTTTTGTTGCATAGTCTGGGCTTCTTGTTGAGTTTTCTCGTCGGGCCGCGCCGAACTTGAAAAGGGGCAGTGAAACCCCTCGGTATAACCACCCGCTTGTATTTCTTTCAGAGCGCCCGATTGCTTCTTCTTCTTCTTTTTTGTTTGGCGAGGGCCGCCGCCTGATGACCACGCTGACGCTCGCGTTTTATTGGATTTCGGGCAGCCATTTGTGTTTTGTTCATCGGCCCGAGCGGCCCCCCCCCAGGGGTGGTCTGACGCGCATGTGTTTTCATGTGTCGGGCCAGCCCCTCCGCCGTCGTTGGCATTCGCCTCTTCCTGCGCGGAGATGTTCGTCGGGCCGACTGGGGGCTCTTGGGGGCTACCACGATGTCTCTTTGTTTGCTGTGGTCGGGGCACGGTCTCCCTTTTTGTTTTGTTTGGGGGGGGGAAGGCCCGCGCGAGCGCGATTCCGCAGTGTGTCCAGCCTTAGCCTTTACTGTTACCAATTTCCCCATATGAGTATGGCGCTGCTTCCTGTTTTAAAGAGTGTGTCAGCCAGCCCCCGGGGCCCCGAGATGTCCCCAGAGACCTCCGAGAGCCCCAGTCCGTCGCCACTGTGGCTCAAGGGGTGATATCGAGGCTCGGGGCGCCGCAGGAGACCAGACCCTTCCCCGGCACCCCGCCGCTGCCATGCCGGAGACGATTGAGATCAGCAAGGAGGCGGTGTCGGGCAACGGCACACTCGAGAACGTCGGGATCAAGTTGGATGCCAAGTTCAAGTGCCCGCACTGCAGGCAAGCCTTCACGGATGACAAGGCCCTCCAGCTCCATTTGAAGTTCCAGTGTTCCACGGCCATTGCCAAGCAGATCAACCCAATCGGTGATTAGGTTTTGCGAGCGAATCCAGCGACTACGCTCTGATCACCGACCAGTGATTTGGCTCCAGCGCCAAGTGCAGCGCCTTCGACCGAAACCCACCTTCGAGCGGCTAGTGGCCAGAGGGAGAGGGAGGAGGAGGTGGAAAAGGAAGAGGATGAGGGGACCGAGCTAGTCGAGAGTTTCTTCTCTTCAGCTCCTCGGCGATGTCAGCTCAAAGCTTTTGATGCTTGCGAGTAGGCGTGTCCAGAGCAGACAGGAGGTCGCTCGGATGGATTGTTTGAGTTGGAGCTTGAAGTAAAGAAACTGCATAGACCTCCAAGAGGGGCGCAATATTGGGATCAAACAGCATTACAGTGGAGACCCATGCCAGGGAACACCCTGCTTGCCTCCAGGGTGCCCTGGGCTTCTTGGATTTCCAGGGTTTTGCGATGGAAAGCGCGACGCTCCCACACCAAAAATCCATGGACGTCCTGGGGTCTCAGGGTTGGGTTCCTTGTGGAAGGTTTCTCGTGGACTGGCCTCCACTGTAACATCAACTGCCTGAGATCCGCGCAGACTTCGTGAATCGGCGCTGGGCCCCCCTGGTCCTGGGGAAAGCCCCCAGGGTCCAGGACCCGCTCCCCTCAGGTCCTCCTCCTCCTCCTCCTCCTCCTCCTCCTCCTCCTCCGCCTCCGCCTCCGCCTCAGCCTCCTCCTCCCCCCAGGTCCATGGTCGTGGGGAGGCGCGCGGGAGGGCAGACAGCGGCACAAGCATAGACGGAATGAGCGTGTGCCGAAGCGGATTCGCCGCAGAGGTCTTGCCGAAGAGGACGTTTGTGAACGGGCGAAGAACAGTATAAAACATACTTTTTCGTTGTCGGGGGCGCCTGTCCCAGGGCGGCTGGAAAGCTTATACCCTTACGGTGGCGCGTCCAGGTATAAATTTTCCAGCCGCCTTGGGGCAGCGCCCCCCGCGACGGAACAGTTTATTTATACCGTTCTCCGCCCGCTAAGTTTGCCGCGGGTCGGCGCCGGACCCCCTCTCCCCCCCGGCGCGCGCCGAGGGGGCGGAGCCGGAGGCGCCGCCAGGGGGCTCAGCGCCGATCCAAGAAGTCCGCGCGGACCTCCCAAAATGTATGCGTGTCCAGGCTTATCTCCCCCTCCCCCTCCCCCTCCTCCTCCTCTTCCTCCTCCTCATCCTCCTCCTCCTCTTCCTCCTCCTCCTCCTCCTCCTCCTCCTCCTCCTCCTCCTGGCCCCTCTCCCCCATATGCGTGCCAGGGACACGGCGGCGGACCTGTCGTGCGCTGTCCATGTCACGTCCTCAGCAGTGGCACCTTGAGCTTCCTTGCACTTTCTTACGCTCGTCACCTTTCTCTTCCATGTGTTCCCGCTCGTATACATCAGGACCAACGTCAGCGGGGATGGGCTCAGGGGGAGACGCATTGACCTCAAAACGCTCACTCATCGCCGGTAGGGGCCCGATAGCCCGCCCCGCCCGGGGAGGTGCGGATTCGCTGTCGAGGCCCATCGCCAGTCTGTCGGCGATGTGTCGCCGATTCTAGCTCGATGCCCCCCCCCTCCTGAGCCAGTCCCCCTAACGTTTCCCCTCGTTGATATTCCAATTGTTTCCGCCAGTCACGCTGATCTTCCCTGCGTTTCCACTCGCAAGCACCTGCACGCTCGCACTGCGTTTTTGCGCGCGCAGGCGCCTCAACTTCACCTTCGTCCAGAAGGACACGGCCAACCTCTCGCGC